CTGGTACATGTGTTTTAATAATGTCCACAATACTGAAGCACAAAATCTTCAGGAAGGATGAGCAGCTTGTTACTGTTCATTTTATTTCAATGTCACTGTCAAATTATTTGCATACTTCCATATATTTTTCTATTTGTTAATGCCATAAATATAAATGCTTAAATAAAAACACATTTGTCATTCATCAATTTTTAGTGCAGTTTATTGCTTCTCCAACAAAGTGTTCGATATGGGATTCATTTTTATGTGTTACAATGGGTGTTTACATTTATCTCCTTGGTATTGCAAGAAAAAAATGTGTAGGTAACTCAGCTTAAAATCCTACTTTGTCACATCTCATTGCCCTCTCCAGACTGGAAATACATGCCTACAGGCTTTGATATGTTTATATAGAGATATAATATACTTTCACCATGCATAAGTGATTGATAAAGTAATTTAAGGAAGTCTAATTGGTATTTAAAATAAAGCATCTTCTCTGCAACAGATTTTGGGGACGTATTCTGCACGGCTTTCCTCAGGGAAGTCTGGGGAAATACTTCTGCTCAAAGAGCGTGATTTTTGCCCTTTGACTTACAGCTACCAGCCTGAGAAACCTGAGATCAAACAATCCTCTCGATGTTTTGTCGTTGCCATCTCAGTGAACCAGCTTGGAGAACTCTGATTCATAAAGGAGCACATAGAGCCGCACATGAAAACACGGTCTGAGGTCACCAGCTGATCACGGACCTGGCATCGCCCACAGGCCGGTAGAACGCTCCTCACCTGGAGCAGCGGAACCTCTCACCAGAACACGTTGGAGCCCTGCTGCCTGTTCCGTAAGAAACAGCCGGTAGCAAACCAAACCCCCATCCCCAGGCAGGGTGGCTGCACCCTCACTGTCATGGGCTCTCTACCATCTTCCAGTTCTTTCCCCGAGGACAAATCTATGCCAAGATCTCGCAAACTTTCCGTGGAGCAGGGACGAGCACACCGATTCTTTATTGCCATCTAGTGACCAAAACTATTTCCACTATTACACCAAACAGGATTACAACTCTGCAGAATTCTGAAACCAACAAGCACAAAAGAGAAACCAAGCTTGCTTTTCAGCCTTAACTTTGTGCTACCCTCTCCCTATCCCTCAGGCGTCGGATCTGCAGTAAGTGTAAGCCGCTGCTGCTTCCAGAGAGTCCTTTGTCTCTGGCGTGAACAGGTCCTAGAGGTCAGCAATGTAGAAAGAGGTCACACCACAGACATGAATGGCCTTGGTTTGTCCCTAAGGAGCTCCCAGAGCTGCACAACACGGGTCTATTGCCGGGTAAGGTGAGCACAGCACCCCAGCACCAGGGCGGCATTTCATGTGGCCGCAACAGGCATTTCCTCGCCCTGGGAGTAGGAAGGGGTCAGGTTGTTCCCAGGGGTATTCGAGGTCCTTCAGAGAGGTATTCTCATTTGGCTCATATGTTCTGGGGGCTCACAAGTGGCTCTTTTCTCACCAAGACAAGCTCCTAGCAGCTCGCTCTCACATCTGCACGCTGGGCATCAAAGCATGCCAGGGCAATAGGAAACTCTAAGGTTTCAGCTCTCAGTGAGGGCAAGGGGAATTGGTGGAGCTCAGCGCAACAAGGAATTCTGAATTCCTTATTTCCCCCTGTCGTGGTTTAACCCAACCAAAGCAGCAATACCAAAAGCCCATCGGTACCCTTTTGGGTCTTTGAAGTACCCTCTCTTGAGGTAGTCTATGCCAAAGATGCATGGAGCCTCTGGGCCAGTCACAATACGGTGCTTTTGCCATTCTCTCCCAGTCAGGCTGATTTCAGCCTCCAGTACAGTCAACTCTTGGGATCCTCCTGTCACTCCAGAAATATAGATGGGTTCCACCCCTTGACAGCTCGATGGCATCAGGGTACACTGTGCACCGGTATCTACTAGAGCCTTATACTTCTGCGGGACTGATGTGCCAGGCCATCTGATCCACACAGTCCAGTAAATCCGATTGTCCCCTACCTCCACCTGGCTGGAGGCAGGGCCCCTCTAATAGTCATCACAGGATTGGACGCTTAAGTCATGTTGAAAGGGATTATTCTTCTTTATCACAGGAGCTGGAGTAAGATCAGCTCTTCCACTCCACCTGGGAAACTGCTCACCAGAGACTGAAGCCGTAGCTCTCATGGGACGCTCAGTCTTGGCCTTTGCTCCTCTTTTCAATTCACTCACCCGTTCCTCCAAAACTGAAGTAGGTTTTCCATCCCACTTTGTCATGTCTTCTCCGTGATCCCGCAGGTAAAACCATAGGGTAGACCGTGGCGTATACCTCTTGTATCTCCTTTCTCGAACAGTGGGACGCCTTTTGCTAATAGCTGAAATGTGTGTTGGTACACGCGAGGAGGTGTGGAGGTCCGAAGTCGAGAAGTCACCTCTCCTTCTTCTTCTTCATCATGTGATGATGACTCCTGATCATGTTCTGGATCGAGTAGTGAACACATTGTTTCTTCATCTTGCTTTAACCTTCCTGCCTCCTTTTTGCTTTTTCTCTTGCGTACAGGGGCAACCGATATTGGTACGAATTGGTCCTCTGGTTTAGTTGCAGTTGTTATCACTGTGGTTTGAGTAGCGACTGTACTTGTTGCTGGGGGTGGTGTAGCTGCTGTACTTGGAGCTGGAGTATCCGTACTGGCTGTTGCTTTGCCCTCAGATCCAGCGACATTTTTTTCCTTTTGAAGGTGCTGGAAAGCATTGAACATGGCCCTGTAAGCGTAGGCCAAGCCCCAGCACGTTGCCATGATTTGTCCGTCTCTGGTATGGCCAGACTGACCACACACCTCATTTAAGTGTTTTACTAATTCTTCTGGATTTTGCAGTTGTTCGGTGGTGAAATTCCAAAGTACTGGAGGGGCCCACTGACCTAGATACTTGCCCATACTGTCCCACACACCCTGCCACTCATGGCTGTCCAGCCTCAGAGAAAATCTCTTGGTCCTCCTACTTCGTTGTTTAACCCCAGACAAGACCCAAACCTGACTCTGCTTAACTTTTGAAAACAGATGAAATAGTTGTGGCCAAAATACACTCTGTATACGTGCCAACATGGTGATCCCCATCACAATCAGCAAACAAGTCTCAATAGCATTAAACGGCCATTCAAAACTCTCAAATGATGCTGTAAATGCTCTGGGGGGAGGAATGGGAGGGTAAAAGAATGCCTCCTTCACAGGTTGACCACCCGAGAAGGAGAAAGAATATGTGTAATTGCTAAGCATTTCTATTATATACCTCCCAAAGTATAAAGGTGGTGACCATACTGGGAACATAAACCAGATAAGTTTCATGATCAATAATTCTATTGTGTTACAAGTCATCATCATAAAGTACACTGAGACAAGAACTTTAGCCCAAGCCCCACACTTGAAAAACACTAATACAGCAAATACCAGATCTAAGTAAATTACAACATTCTGAAGCTGTGAGATCAAGAGGAACAACCTTGAGAGCCAATAAATCAGCATTGTGATGAATGACTATTAATCCGGTCAGATCTGTTGTTATCTCAGCCCCTTCGTGCCCCACGTTGGGCGCCAAAAGAACTGTCGTGGTTTAACCCAACCAAACAGCTTGTTCACTTACTCCCAGTGAGTGGTGCCAGGCGTTAGTCTGCCCCCCCCCCTTCCCCAGGGGCTGCCGCCCCCTTTCCCCGCTCCCAGAGGGGTGGGGAGGAGAATCGAAGGAATGCAACTCCCACGGGCGGAGATAAGAACAGTCTAGCAACTAGTGTACAATACGAATCACCACTGCCACCACCAACGACAACAATGATAAGAGAAAACAGCAAAGGAAAGGAGTACAATACCACGCGCCGAACCACCAGTCCGACCCGGCCGACCCCCTCTCCTCCCGGGTCCCTCCCAGTTCCCCCCTCGGCATGACGTGCTGTGGTATGGAACACCTCCTCGGTCAGTCCGGGTCAGGTGTCCTGTCTCTGCTTCCCCCCGGCCCCCCCTCCTCCCTGGCAGAGCACGAGACTCACAAAGTCCTTGGCCAAACCAAAACATCATTTTTATCAGCTTTGTTCCCAGCCCGAAAGTCAAAACACAGCACTGCACCAGCTACCAAGAAGGAGAAAAAATGACTGCTGCTGCTAAACCCAGGACACCCCCAGACCAAACTTTTTAAAGAAGCTGCACTCCCTGATGAGGCAGGTGGTGAAAGTACATTCCTAAGGGAACTTAAACAGAAATACAACATGACAGCAGGTGTTGAGCCCCATCACTTCCACAGTTTTCTGGTGAAACTTTTAAAAGGCCTATTTTGGTAAGGAATAGAACTCTGTCTCATTCTTTGCTCTTGATCCAGAGTAGCAAGTTACTTTTATTCATCGATAAAGCCATCACACTTTGAGTGCCTTGGCCTAAACGAGCTGAAGCTTCAATTTGAAGATGTGCCTCTATTTCCAGATTTAATCACAACTGCTCTAGAGTTTTCTGTAAAACAAAGACCAGTTATGAGTGGTTTTAAAGTTCCAGTTTTACAGCCTTTTTATGTCATCACTCAGTTGAACAACATAAAAACCCCACAATGCAATTCAAATAATGTGTGTAATTAAAATGTACTTACTTTTACTTCAAGACTGGAGTCCTGTAATTCAAAACTAGCCAAACCCCGTTTCTCACTTTGGTGCTTTCTCTCTTTAATTTAGGAGAGGAAAGTTTTACAGGGGGAATTAAGACCTCATTTACTGAACCAAATAAAAAAAAGGCAGATTCAGAGCAAGTGTTTTCAGTTTCACTTAACTGATTGGACGGAGAGGAAACAATACTGCTTAGGAGCTGAAAAGCAGAGGGGATGTTAGTAAAGAGAGATGTGTTAGGATTCATAGCCTGTCTGGGACGGGGTGAGGGAAGAGACTTACAAACCACCTATGGATCAGTGCAAATACAACTGGAGGTATTGTGTGGCATAATTACATCAGTACTTCTACTGAATATGCAATTTTGCTTCTTCTGATACTATTCTTCAAGACTCCATTGGTGTTGGGAGCAGACAGACTGAGGCAGAACATCCGTTCTGTGAAATCTTTAGTGCTGATCTCTGCTTACAGTAGGGAAGATACTGCACTGTTCACAGTAGCATAATTTGAGAGGCACAATATGTGTTAGTCTGAGTTAAGAGAGTGAAAACACTGGCTCTGAAGCAATGCTTGCTTAATGCAACCTCATGGGAACCTACTGTGTGTTGGAATCTAAAGAGCTTTGTGATATTCTGAGTATTAGCGTTTCTAGATGCACTTCCTCTGCAAAATACCCCATTATTCCTCTCAACACAATGTAGAATAATCCTGAATGATTAATTCTGTTCCAAATTTCTGAAATTCTGCAGTACCTTTTTCTCCATGGCTTGATTCTTGTTTCACCCTGGCATTTTTCAGTGATGTCAAAACCAGATATTTGATCTAGAAAAATATGTAAGAGTCATATGAGGGGAGAATTTAACACTATATTTAACATGCAGTCATATTCAGGAGGGAGAAAAATGGGTCCCTTTGTTGGGATGGAAAATCACCTAGAGTTTCATCTCTGATGAAGCTGAGATATAATCATACTATTTGCTTAGCAGTAACAATATTAGCCTTAAGCAAATAAGGGTTGTTGCTGAAGACTTTACAGGATTTGAGCTTAAAATCAATGGCTTGAGTCCTGGGTATTATTTTCCCAAAACTTATGCAGACTATAGGCAATAGGTCTTGTTTGTGTAGATGTGAGCATAAAAAGTCAATGGAATTAACAAATTCCATACTTTACTGTGAGACTGTGCCTTTGGTCAGCATTTCAAGAAGCTATGGAATCTAGAAATGGGCACTGGGACCCCAGGCAGTGTGGGAGTAGGTAGTGACTCTGAGTACAGCTTTTGGCACGTAGGAGGCCAAGTCCAATGTATCACTACTCACCTCATGCCTCTGAAGGGTTGGAAGTGGCAGAATGTTGCTATGAACACAGGTCACCAGCAGATCTAAAGACTGGGTGTCTTCAAGAGCTTGCGGTGATGTGGAAAGTCTGCATCTTGGGAGAGAGGGGAAAGTCATTCTTTTTGTTCTTTGAGAGTTTAAGCAAAGTTTTGGAGATCAATGGCTGGTTCCTTTCTTTCCTTCTGGGATGGACATCTTTCCATACCATTGCATTCTCAGAGCAGGAAGAGGGAGACAGATAGGAAGATTGTGGTGGATCACTGCTGAATTTTGAAGCTGACTGGCCAGCAAGAACTTTTGGCAGCTTATGGGCGGCACTGCATTTATTCTGGTAAAAGAGAGTATGCATGGTGAGGTGAAGATTGGCATTACACCCAACTGTGTGGTACGCTGTGATTTGCAACAGATGTGAGTCATGGGGAGGGTCAGTGGACACCCCTTCACAGTGATGCTTCAGCTGGACACATTGTATTGTGAAACTATAGTCTGAGGAGCCAAGACACACTGCTCTTTCTTACCTCATATGTAGCTTTTCAGAGAAATAACCTGTCTGGTAATTAAACATAGACAATTCTCTTACACAGTTTCAATTGTGCTTACCAGATGTTGGCAGTACTGGTCATCTGGGAATGACTTACTGCACTTCCAACAAAGACTGACACCAGTACCTTCAGAAGGAAAAAAAAATCGAGAGAAACACAGTAATGTCACTAGTCATCTAGACAGGGTGCTCAGATCCACGTATGGTCACTGGATCTAGAGAAACACAGAATGTTGATTCCACTGGCGAAAGGGAACTAGAGCTGTGACTACATTTTGCTCTTGGCACCACTCAAAACCAATCTGCCATCCCTTCTCTCAAACTTCAGGATATTTGAAATTCTACTGCAGCTCCATGTTTTGTGGTTCAAAATGCTTCACTCATACCCTGGCCTAGAGAATTCTGTTGCTATGGAGTTTTGCTTTCTATAGTTTATTCTGCCAACCCCTGCACCTTCTGATGCCTGTTCTTTTCTGGAATCATTGACAGAATTAAGGATTTTTTGGTTTGACACAGTGCCCAATACCTTAGGCCTAATAATGCTCCTCTCAACTTCAAGAAACCAAGGTATGTATCACTGGCTTTATATATGAAGTAGGAGGAAATTCTAAATATTTTTTTTCCTGTGAGACAAAGAGAAAGAGGAAGAAGTTCCATTTATTTCTGACAGGCAGAATTTTACTTCCAGGATGTGAGAGGCACAAAAGGACATGACCAAAGACCTATCAGTCAGTGGAACCACTTTGGCTTTACAATAACCAGCATAATAAAAAGCAATACTTGGCCCTTTCACTGTGGTTGGTTAAACAACAATCCCTTCTAGCTGAATTACTGAGAACAGTAGAGAAGGCAAAAGAGATTTAAGTGAGATTTAACAGAGTTGACACAGTCCAAGACAATGAGGAATTTTGCAACGGCTAGCCTACACCCTCCTGCCATGTGGTCCTTCCTCTTCATCACAGGAAAACTAGATAATGTTAAGGAAAATCCTAGAAAACTCTTCAAATCTCCACACTTTGTAGGGATGGAGAGGGAGAAAGATCTCTTCCCAGTGTTTGCAGAACCTGCCCTCTTCTGTCATTGTTTTTATTATTCTGGATAGCTTTCCCTCTAAGAGCAGAGAAAAAAATGAAAAAAAGCCTCTGGTGCCATAACTCCTCCCTAAACAGCTGCTTACCCACCCTTTAAAGGAGGAGCAGCAGCACTGCCAGACAAGTATTAGTTTTTAGTAGGAGTTTCACAAGCAGATTAGTTTGCTAGTCCTTAGAGAAACTATGGGGTGTCATCTTGTTTCCTTCCCAAATAAGTTCAATTCACAGCAGGACCTGAGCTGACAGCCATACAGCTCCACATTTTTGCATAGGGAACTTCAGAAGAAATTTAAGTTAGAGAGAAATGAACCAGAATGTCACATTTTTACTTCAGTGCAAGTGATTTTTCTGATGGAAGACCTAGCATCTCTTGTACCAGCTACTGCAACTGATCCCTTACAGCAGCATGACACAAACACAGCTCTTCTCTGAGGTCATAAGTCCTGCCCAGTGTGGAACAATGAGATGCAGGAGATGCAAAAAATAAGAACTGACCTTCTTAGTATGTAAAATGGGAACAAGATTATTAAGTCTTCTACTTTGCAGAGGTATTGGGAGGAGTCATTCACTAGTATTTGCATAATGTATTGTAATGCCATTCACAACAGATGCCCCAGATGTTACTCAGAAACCAGTGTGGTTCATTTCCCATGCGAACAAGTCCTTTCTGTCCCGATTTTTCTCTGAGAAACATGAAAGAAGAAGAAAAAGGAAGCCCAATAAGCCATTATTTAGACTTGGGAATAATGAGTGTTTATCTGGATTTTATAACACAAATTATGTAATGAGGCAGAGAAAAGGCTTTTGAACAAATATGTTAATGAGGTGGCAGCTAAGGGAAGGTTACAGACTTGCCAATTCCAAATCACATTTTTTAAATATGATTTTATTTTTCTTTCTTTCTTTCTTTCTTTCTTTTGTAGTCATTACCCTGCAAACATTCAAATGTGCTTTAGGGCTTCAAGCAAACTATTCAGACATTACCAATTCTAGGTCAAGAAAGCCTGATCAGCAGCACAAACTGACTGAGAAAACCCCACTGACTCAAAATTCATAATGAGGGCTTTTATGTAGGAAGTTGTTGGGCACAGGGATTGTACTGAAAGGACTGTTCGTTCAGAGCCTCAAAAGCTTTTCTTGGAAAAGTATCAGATGCTCCACTGGGAACTTAGTTGAAAGATACTCCTAAAGCAACACAGTGGACTTGCGGTGGCTAGAAAGTACCGATTGGAAAGAAAACGGAAAGTAATGAAACAGGGATTCTCTCTGAATGCTGGCAATAACTCTTTTCCATTTAAATTCCATGTAAACCTTCCGGCACGTACCATTATTGTACAAGAGCTCCTCCAAGCACCTTTTTAAGTCGAGCATCACACAGAGGTAAGTTCTGAACTCGTTATTTTTTTAATGTGATTTTCAAAAGCCTGCGCAGATGACAATTCTGCCGCTGCTAAGTCCTGGGATGTCTCAGGGTCAGTTTTTTTCCAGTTTTGTTTCTCAGTCTCAAGTATGATACATCTTAAAGGCCTTGTTTAATATAATTTTGTTAACACTTTTGTACCTCTGGATGTTAAATGGAGCCTGCAACATGACTATGTGGAGAGTTTTTGTCTTGAAAGGGAATAGCAGTTATCTAGGTCAAACGAACTGCTTTAAAACAGGCAAAATGTACTTGTGTGCTTGAACAGCATTTGAATTAGTGGTGGAAAATATGTGGATCTCTAATTAAATGAATCAACTGGTACCTGGAAAGCCTTCTTGCCACAGACTATTCCTATCCAGTACTAACAGGAGTAACTGAGATGATTGGCTAGTAGTGAATAAGATATAACAGAAAAGCAGCTTCTTGGGAAAGGCCTAAACTACACTAAAACCTTTCTTTTCCAATTCTTCCACCCAGACGGATGACCTTGGAATGCCTAGCTTCCAAGGGGACTTGATTTCTAATCCCTTTCTACTAGCCAAAACAATGCAGGTTAGCCTTTGTTAACTAGTCTTCAGCAGTGTCCCTCTTCTGAGTGGAACTCTTTACAGTGACTTACAACATTGAATCTGGTATCTTAAGTTCAAATGGGATCACTAGACTCTGTGTGTGGTTTGATAACCAGGCTGTCAAGTCCATCTATAAATCTGCTGTCTTGAAAGTTGTGGCTATTCCTGTCTCAGCTATACCAGTTCCCAGCCATAACTGGCCCGGTCTCTTGAGCTGGCTTTGGTGCTCACTGAACACCTCATTGAACTTATTCGGCTCAGTAACTCAGCAAAAAGTTAGGGCTTTCTTTGTCAAGTTAAACCCCAGTGAGCCCCAGAGCCACCAGCGGAGAAACGGATAGAGAGACGAGACAGGGCAGTGGCAGTGAGCCATGAGATGGGCTTGGGTCTGTTACTGCACCATACCATTGGTCCTTCATATGGTTTAAAATGCCTGTGTTTATTAAGACAGCATAGCAGCAAATGGGAAGTGGTATCTAGTAACCAAGAAAAGAGGCTGAGGTACAACAGACCTGATTCAGCTTCTGGTTGTACTTCATGTTACAACATATATCTAAGTCTCTTTGTAACACAAAGATCTGAGTTCCTTTGTACACTGATTTGAAGCTTACTATCAAGAACAAGAAGAGCAGCAAATTTGTTATTCAATGAGTACCAAAATTTAGCCCAAAGGCTGCTACAATCTTCCACTTCTAAATGGTGTCTGCAACCAAAAGTTACACCATTTTACCTACCATTTACCATAATTTTACCCAATGTCATTAAAGAAGTAGTAAAAGACCATGAAAGCACACATCTTGCATACATATTTGTAAATACTGCTCTGATCTGCTATGTTCAGAGCTGTGCTCACGAGAGGAAAAGATTCCTTTTTCTTGAAGGCCTGCAGTCAGTGCTCAATTAGCATGAGCTGAATTTCAGGCTGTGAAAGGTTTTAGTTTGAATGCTCTCTGAACCATCTAAAATTCCTGCTGCTGGAGGTTTTGCAAGCACGATGGGTTCTCTGCAGCTTCCTTTTGCCTGGCTTTCAGACTAGTTCTGTAAAGTAAGCAGCCAAGGCTTTGTGTGCCTCCACCTTGGCACAGTGAAGAGGAAGCTCGTGTGCAAATTATGTGAAAGAGCTGCCATTCCTGTAGCACTCTCATCCAGCCAGTGCCAAGTGTATCTGAGTTGTAAGCATAGACTGAGGAAGGCAGGGAACAGCTGGAAGACTTCCAAACGGAACACGCTCCTCTGTGCTTCTCTCCACTGGTGCATACAGACCCCATAGAGAGCAGTGCCCAGCCTTGGCCTTCATTGTAAACTGCTCTCTTCCCCCGTTTCATACAGTCCTGCTCTCCCCTTCCTGCATCTTTACTATGCATTGCACAGCCTTACCACCTCCTTGTCTGAATGTAGACATCTTTTCTCTTGTCCTTACTCAGTATTCTTATTCCCACCCACATTCTGCTGTTATGATGATATGTGAATACGTGACTCTAACGTTTGGATTCAGGCAACTTTTCAGCCTCCTGGCTCTTACAGCAGAATACGAATTGACACATGAAAACCTTCAAGTTTATAAAATAGTGATAGTGCTACCTTAAATATGAAGTGTGGGTGGCAGGATGGCTTGAGCAAGGAGGTACCAAGGTCAGAATTTACCTTCAAGATTATAGGTTCAGTTCAGTGCAGGACTTTGTTCCTGCTGTTCTGCAACAGCCAGTGGCTTTGCTTGGGTTTAGCTGAATTCCTAGCTGACTCCACAGGAACTGAAGCTGGCACTGATTTCTCCTCAGCAGAGTCAGTACAGATATTTTTCATGAACAAATATTTTGCATGGACTCCAACAAACCAACCTCCTGAAGCACGCTTCTAGAAAAGGAGCTTACTTCTGCAAAACAAGTAAAGAAATGAAAGTTACTTATTTCTCTGGTCATGCCTAAGCTTTTGCTGTAGTCTGGGAATGCCTCCACATTTAGGTTTTGAACCTCGGTTTATCAGTCTTGGCCTTGATTCATAAAAAGATTTCAATTGCTAAGTTTGGGACCCCGGTCTTAGATACAACCATGCTCAGATAAAGGTGATATAGACACACTTTCTTTCAAATCTGAGCTCCATGTTGTTCCTGTATCTCCCTCTCTCATTCAACTGGTATTGTCGAGGCAGCTCTATGGGGAAGAAGTGGGTATTTATCTCTAAGGGTCAGGTCCTTGCTGATCTTGACCGGCAACTCCCTGTATTCCTCCTTTCTGCTTTATAATCTCTTGGGAGGTGATTCGGAGAAAACTCCAGGAACAAAGTTGCCAACAAAGTTTTCAAGCTGACAAGCAGGTATTCTTTATTGCGGCGCCGGGAGACACGGGGGATAAATCCTCCTAACGTGTGTCCCCGTACTGCTATTCAAGCCACCCTTATATAGTCACTGGGCATACATACATATTCATGAGGCTACGTATGGATTACATCATTTTCCAGAGAGTTCCCCGCATGCGTACAGAATTGTGGTGGTGGTCTCTGAGGGTCGGTTACTTCTTCCAACAATCTTCATCACTTCTGGCAGCCTTTGAAGCACGCGCAGTAGATGCTCATACCAGTTTAATTGGTTCGTTAGCACCAGAGACATAATAATCCTCCTATCCTCCTACTTATCAGTTAGTTTAACTGTAGCCTATCCTGGACACCTGCCATTCCCAGATACTCCTTATCCCTGTGTCCTGTTCTTCTAGACTGTTTTTCTTAAAACTAGGCCAACTATAACGATTTATCTTGTGAGAATTCTTAGTATGTTCTCTAGTTGTACTCTGTTTTTTTTCTCTATGTATCCTGCACCTCAGTAATTTTCCATTGTTACTGTTACAAAGCCATCAAACTTAACATTACTTAAAACTTCTTATAAAAGTTTCTATATCCCATTTTGTGATTTTGTGCCCCTTTGTCTCAGAGGCCTGCACCATATTCTTATCCCTGTCCCAAGTCAGCTGTTCCTAAGAACCCTAGGGAACATCGTGTTTCTCATGCCCCTTCCCTTCTCCCCCTGAAAGTATACCATTCTGGTTGACAATTGCTATCTGAACAGCAGAAAAGGGTACTCCACTATCTTTCAATCTGATTTCCTATTATTTAATGCTTGTTCTTTTCTGTTAATCCTTCATTTGTTTTGTTGTGTATCACAGAACGTACTTTGCATGACACACTGAAGGCAAACTTGCAATAATTCTGCACAACAAGTAAATATGGATCCCCTTCTCTGTATTGGACACTGAGGCATGGGCTAGTTAATTGATTTGCCTGCAGGAGTCCCTGTTCTCATTCCTAGCTACAAGGAGACTCCTTTCACAGGACTAGTCAATCTAAAGATGTCAACACGTCTTTGTGGGTTTTCTTTTCATTTTTTCTATACTGTACTGCATCTCGTAAGACAGACAGTTATTTGCACTGGTCTATCAAAGTGTGCCTAGTACAGCTCTTTTACAGTTAACTCTGCATTTTCTTACCTAAGTGCTTGTAGCCTCTTTGTTGGCTATAGACCATTTTTTCATTGGAGACTGGCCACAGAAATGCAAGTTTTGGCCATTTCCCTGCTTTCTTCTAGGCTTTGCACTGGTGTGAAGTTTCCTCTGTGTTGGCAGGTTACCCAGAGGGACTGCTGCTAAAGGTTTGAAGATTTGGATTCAGTCCAGATCCGGCTGGCTACTGTTTTCCTTAGCGGACATTCACTGCTTTTACAAACAAGACAGTAACATTGGAGTGTCTTGTTTTGAACTTCTGTCACTCAAGTTCCTCTGGTCAGCAGAGGACAACACAAGCTGTAGTCAAAGCTCCCTCATTACTTGCTGTGGAATCTGAAAAGCTTTATTCCTTTGAGTAACTGCTTGGTAAGACTGTACTAAGAGAGTGAAGGATCAAACTGTTAACATATGATTTACACCAGCCTTCCATTTCAGGTGGCTGTTAACATCCCAAAAGCAGAACATAAAATACCAGTATCTGTCTTCAGTCTGATGCCCGGTAGCTCCAGTTGTTCCTTTCTGGCATCTTGATAGTGCTTGTGACCCTTTTCGTGGCACCATCACTTATGATTCCCATTCCATGGCTACACTCGGACCAAATCCCTGAAACAAATGGCATCAAAAATAACCTTTCAAGTTAACCTTTCTGGGTTATTTTTAACCCAGGTTGCAGGCACACAATCCCTCACAAAATAGCAGGCAGTGAAGCATAGCCATGCATGCCTGCACAGACCTTTGTTTTGGGGAGACCACTGCTGTGGTTTTAACTCTCATTCCCCTAGAGGAGCTAAGTCCTTCCTCACCACTGTGTAAATGAGTGACAGATGATTCCCCTTGGCATCATCAGCACCTCCTGAAAGCCCAGCACCTGCAAGAAGCCGCGTGTCA